CACGAAAGCTTATGCTCTAATAAATTTGTTAGTCTCTAAGGTGCCACAAGTCCTCCTGTTCTTCTTTTTGCGGATACAGACTAACACGGCTGCTACTCTGAAACCTCTTCTTGCTGAGCCTTAAATTAAAGGAAACTTGGATCCAAAAGTAGAACCTTTGTCACATGAGCTAAAGGAGATTCTCCATTAGGTATAAACTGTAACACAACATTGATATTTTCCTGCAGGCTTCCAGCTGTGGGAGGGCAAGGCTAGACAAGTATGCAAGTGCTGGTATTATCTGTGGATATTTTTGCTAAAGTAAATCTGACAGAAATTTAGGACTATTTTTGGCAGCTATCAGAAACAACCAGGATCTGGTTCTCTTGCACCGTGTAGTTTTTTAAACCTGTGCAAAATGGGTGAAAAACACTGTTATTCTGATTTGGTAGCACTTTATACCCACTTTGCACAGTGCATGGCAATGGAGACTCCAACCTTCAGATGGTAATGTAGTAGCAATCCCTTCCATGGATACTTAGCTCAGATTAGGACAAAGGGAGGCTGTCTTTAATCCAGGATCTACAAATCCAGGAAGAATTACCAGTCCCGGATCTATTTGTGTCTAGCAACCTCAATAAACATTCACTAAACCTGAGTTCTTTCTCCTCTCTGCCATTTGCCTTGAATGTCATGTGATTTTTCCATTTTCAATATAAATCCAGCTTTCAGGACTAGTAAATCATTAAACAAATATAAACATCATACCACATAACTTTTTCATGCAATTCTGACTTGGAAGCAAAATTACCATAAACCAGCCAATGTTTCAGCAATATTTGTTTTAGGGATTAAACAATTACATCACTGCCTCAAGTAATAATTTGTGATTAAAATCAGCACATGGGTGATATTACCCCATCCAGGTGATATCAGATTTCTCATGGTTCCTCAAATATGTAAAATCATCAGTAAGCAGTTATGCCATTCTATTAAAAACACGACCAATCCCAATGCATTTTTCTCTAAGAGACTGAACACACTAAGTGATTATTTTTAATGTTACCTCATCAATAATTGTGTATTAGCGCTAGTGTGTCACAAATGGCCTTATTTTCAGAAGTGTTAAGCAAATCAGTGGGAGCTCTGAGTGCTCAACGTCTGTGAAAATTGGGCCATAAATGGTCTCTTGCTATATATTTGTATCAAGCCAAGCATGATGGAGCTGGCCCTGATCTTGGTTAGGCCTCAAGCCAGTACTGTAAAACTACTACTAATAAACAAGTGTGTGCGCGTGGATTAGTGTTGGAATGGGGAGTGCTGGAATGGGGCATTGGAAATGCTGTTGTGTGTGTGGGAGACTGGAGATGCAGCGAGGGGTCAACCAGGAGCTGGAGGATTGGAGGAATGGAGGTGGGTGTAGGGTGATGGAGGTGCAGTGACAGGGGCAGGGGTTAATGCAGGGCTGGAGATGCTGGGGTGGAGGGGCAGTGACAGGCGGGGGTCAGTGCAGGGGTGGGGGACTCAGTGCTGGGTCTGCCTGGGGGGCGGGGTTAGAAGTGTCCCTGTGTGTGTGTGTGTGTGTGTGTGTGTGAGGGGAGGGGCGGGCCGGCGTGCGCTCCGCACCATGGAGACGGGCGCTCGGGAATCGCGTCAGGCCCGCGCCGCCGCGGGTCCTTGTGCCAGGCTCTGACAGAGTCTTTGGCGCGGCCGCCGCCGGGAGCGTGCGCAGGAGCCGGGGCCCAGACCCCGTGAGTAGCGCGGGGGCCGGGAGCCGGTGCCGTCCGGCGAGCTGCGGGGCGGGCGCTGTGTGCGGGTCCCCGGTGCACGGTGAGAGGGAAGGTTTCTTAACCGGCGGGGGGCGCAGGGAGGATGGTGGAGATAGGTTTGGGGGGGTGCAGAGGGGAGGTGGGGGCGT